GCCAGTGACAGCATCACTTCTGGCGCACTGGCGCCACTGGCTGGCGCCAGCGTCTCCCAGAGGTATGGCTCCATCTTCGTCCCTTGCGAGGATGGCTGTGAGGAGGCACCCGGGGCCAACCAAAAGAGGGACGGTGGCACCTTTGTAGCAGGGAGAAGGCGACGTCCTGGATCTATGAGTGCGCCTTTCTCTAAGGGTGCCCTGTTGGGTTGTGAGCCAAAGAGCATCCGTTTTGGACGTGTTTCCCTGTGCAAAGGCAACATTTCCTTTTGGATGTGGCTCGCAGCTTAGAAGGGCCCTGAGTTGGATGCTTCGATGGTTCCACGGTTCGATGCTCGGATGGTCGAATGCTGGTTGGACGGTTGGTTGGATGGTTGCTTGGCTTGGTGGCTCTGCCAACCTAGCATCATCAGGCTCAGTTTTTCCTGATGGCATGCACCCCCATGCTACTTGCAGCGCAGGTTTCAACTCGCTTACGTTGCTTGGGCCAGGGGGTGGGTCGGCTTTAGACCGTTTTTTAGGCAGTGTCAAGGTGGTTCAGGGCTCAGGCTTGGCCGCGGGTCGCTAGACCTACATAGAACCATGCGCTCTGTGCAACCAACTTTCAGACTTACCCTTTTGGGCATCTTTTATCCAGGAGCTTGCGGTGGCTGTGGCACCCTTAAAAGGCTTCAGGAAGCCAACCGGAAAAACCAATGCAAATCTTGCAGAGCGTAAGCGATACAGCGACAACCGACATGGTAAGCGCCTCTCTTGAGTTCATCCAAGAAATCATGATTCACCCTGGTGGAGAATTCTCAACTCCATACACCAATATTACGGCTAGTGAAATGTTGAGGCACACGTTGCCTACTTGGAACCCGTTGGAACTTCTAGGTACTTGGCCAAAAATGGGGTTGTCATTATTTGTGTGGTATGTCATTCTGTGTGTGTTGGTTCAATGTAAATGGCGAGGGTAGAGTCGGGTAGAGTTGGTTTTCCTTTCATCATTGGAACTGGAACTCCGGCTGATCTAGGCAAATCAAAGCGACCTACCCGACGGGATGTGGGCAACCTTCCCCATGATCATTCCTGTCTTACGGAGCCCGGTATTTAGGTTTGTCGGAACTCAGCAATCTTGCGGCCAGGATGAAGACGGCCTGATTCCACTTGGCCTGATCCGCATCGCGCGCATCTCAGCATGTACTGACGGCATGGCATGGTTGGTTTTGGTGTCCGGGTTCATAGGAACTCCAGAGAGGTAGATCGTTTGCTTGTTCGGGGGTTGCTCAGACTGGATGCGTCAAAGTCATTTTTTCCTGAACCTTTTTCCCAAACGGGACAATCTAGTATGTCACTTTCCACAGTCCTAGAGTCGGCTTCCATTTCTTGAAAGGGACAGAATGTCTATTGCCAAGACTCTTGTAGTTTCCCTCGTCCTTGTTGTTCACCTTAAGCGCACAAGAAAAGGTACAGTATTGCACGTCTTGTGCATTCGAAGAGTTGTGTTTAGCTGTTTAGCCTGGTTCCCTCGCAACTCTCGAGGTGTCCGCCTGGTTCGGGGACCCCAAGAACCCGGGCCTGCGCCAAGACGTGACGCAGGAGGCGTGGGTGTTTGACACGTCGGATTGGCGCGGCGAATCGCTTCCAGCTGAGTTGGTGTTTTGTGTTATACTGAGAAATGTTTATGACTCATGGGTGAATATACAGAGATTGTCTTATTTGTCGGCGCCAACAAATCAGACGGAGGTATGTCAAACACATTGCAGGTAACGTGAAAGGCGGTTCGCCATGGGAAGATCATCAGGAGAGGATCCTTACCAGCTCATAGTTTCTAGTCACAAGGTTGCTACACATTCAGGCTTCCTGAGCTGTATTTGAAAGGATCTCAAACATTGGGTCATGCTTGCAGTTTGGGTGGGACATATGGGCCGCCCCAAGATGTTCTCCAAAATAATTTTGATTTGTCACAAATTAGCAGCTGGGTGATTTGTTTGCATGGTTTATAAGGACACTTGCCACCCCTTGTTGGGATTCCCTATTTGTAATTAACTCAGCTCAAATGTCAGAGGCCATGCCACACCACTCAATTCCCCCCTTTTGTGTTGGGAAGCAGGTTTGCGCAGGGCTGGAGATCGTTTCAATTTTTCGCAACCCGAGGTCCAGCAGATGCTAACGTGCCAACGGCGCGTTGAGGTGCCGGCCCTGGCAAGGCGTGGCTGGCGGATCAGAGATGTTGGCCGCTTGTTTCCAGGTTTTCGTTTTGGGCAGAATCTTACTCCAAATCCGCGCCAGACTTCGCTGCAGGCACATTTACTCCCCTGGCGATCCGGTAAAAAGCAAGCCCTTGCTGATGAAGGATAGTGCCCAGGGTGAGTTCGTAGATGCTAAGTCAGGCTTAGATCAATGGCTCGGCCTTGGATTTTGTTGATTCAAGACCCAAGACATTCAAGCCTCAGTCACGCAGCACCTTTCAGAGACATTTTGGAATAAGCCGGCTCCGCTCCACCGTCCACGTGGTCCACTGCACATGGTGGGAAGCGAGGTTTAGGAATCCAATTTTCCGGGCTGCCCTTCAGGAATCACCTAGGTGCAGAAGGCCATTTGCCACCGCGCTGGATGGCCCATTGCCAGGCACTGGGGAGATCCTGCGACCTTCCGGCTGAAGCAACTGGAGGCAGCCACGGGCAAGCCGATTCAAAGGGCTGGGAGGAACGTGGTCGAATTGCTAGCCTCAGGAGTTGGTTGATGACCTCTGAATCCATGAGCCATGAATGTTCCCTGGAAGAATATGTTTTTTGTGTTGGTGAATTATGTGTTGCTCAAGTATTGATAGTTGTGTTCAAGATGGGGAAAGGGTGTCTTGGGTCGAGGTTTGTTGCATCATGCGTTTGTTCTCGGGCTTGCATGCCATGGTAAATCACAATCAACACCCGGGTAAAGAATAGCAAGGAGAATCCCAGCAAGAAATTGGTGCAGCCCGCTGCTACGTTCATTACATGGTTTTGGGTACACGTGCTTAATACCAGGTTTGTTTTGTGACTCTGGCGGTGGAAAAGCTGATTGAGCAATGGCAAAGATTCAGCGGAGAAGCTCATGGCCCATCACCACTTGGAGGTGCTGAAGCAGGCTTTGTGCCCTGATGTGACTGAACACACATATTCTTAGTGTCTCCAAGTCAGATTGGTGGCATACAGGTTGAAGCCTCTTACCACTGGATCAGTGACTTTGAGGGGCAGACGTTGAACGCCAGCGATTGGAGGGTTTGGAAAATAAATCGAACGCCAGGGCAGGGAAGCCTGGTAGCCTTTCAACTACGATGCCAACACCACCAATTTCAGTCAGGCCAACTTTTGCAGCTTGCGCTCAAATGAGTCCTGGTCTTGATTGCAACAGTTTTCACGAGCAGTTGTGGATTGGGAATCCCTCCATGCATGCAAGTAAAAGAGGCCAGACACTGCAGCAAAGTATACTGGACACCTTGCTGCTTGATTGTGTTATCTTCAAGGATTTGCCAGACGTCCCAGCCTCCAGTGCTCAGGTCACCTACGAGCAGGTTTGGTTGAGCTCAGAGAGGTGGGAGGAGGGAGGGCCTTAAACAATCAAAAGCTTGAACCATTTGTTTATTGTTTCAAAGATCCTGAAGAGCTTGTTTTACTCCCCAATCGAAGTTGGAACCACTGATTGCATTGTAAGCAGTTGCTGACATTCTTCTTCCTCATGTTGGAGTCTCAGATCTTATCTTGGAAATGGCACCAAGCATTTGCAGGTTGGTGCTGTAAGTGTTTACCCCCTTTGGGTGATGCCCCACTGGGCAAAGAGCAGATGTTGTACCAGAGGCAGAAAAATCATACGGAGTCATTTAGAGCGGCCATCATGTTATAGTTCTGACTAAATCCTTTGGACAAGCGAAGAGGTGCCCTTGTGCAGAAGCATGATCCTAGTTGCATCAACATTTTGGCGGTCCGACATTTTGGAGCAGATGAGGGTCCGTAAATTTGCTTCATAGTAAGTTTGGAAAGGGGCATGACATGGGGGACTCGTTAGATTTCCACAACCACCAGGGGAACTCATTTATTTTCCCGTGCAAATTACGAAGCAACACATTTGGATCGTGGCTCAGATAGAGGCAGAAGCTGCTTTCACCGGGTCGCAAGGGCGCTTGATTTGCCCAAGTTAGACCGGGAACCCTCTCAGCCACCAATATGCAACCACAGGGAAGACCCCTCCAGGCAGGTGCCCTCTGTGAGGTAGGCTAGGCAGGAGGGTCCACTCGGGGGTGTTTTTTTTTTAAGCAGAAACAGAGGAAGCCTCCTTTGATATTTGTTGATACGTGTATTCTGATAGCGCCGACTCAGACGGGCCTTGTCAAAGCCAGTAAAGTGCGCCGTTTTACAACTTAGCTTCGTGGCGGTACATCGCCAAATGCATTCATAGCATGTCCTGCAAGCATATCATTGTCCGAGACTTTCAAAGAGGTTGCAAACCAGCCTTTCCTTTGTCAATGGGAGGTTGATTCTGCGCAGTTGTCAGACACATGCTCAGAGCCAACGACCTTCGCCGCGGCCGTCGGACTTCGCAGCGTTGAAGATGGTAATGTAGTCACCGGGGCCCCACAAGAAATGCAACCAGTGATTGTTTTTGGAGGGATCCCACACAAGACAAATCAGAGGGCAAGCTTCTTACTTGCCTTTTCAGTAGGTCAGCTTCCATGCAGTTGCCACTGTTGAATGCGAAGCTGTTCCCCACCAAGTCAGCTTAAACCCACCAAGAACTCATCCACGCAGCCCGTGAGCTCTTCCTTTGTGCGACTCGCAAAACATACTCGACAACTAAAAAACGGTGCAGGGAATGCATCCTTGTTTGTGGTAGTCTTTGCCTTGCTTGTGTGGCCTCTTGTCCCCATTCAAAAATCATCCATTAATGGCCAGCTATGACAAGCACTGGGTTTCCACCCGCTCAGTCTGTTCACTCAAACACGGCCATTCAGACTTGTGAGACCTCAAGCCACCCACCCTCCTGCTTGGGCCTTTTTGCCAAGTGCTTGCTCACTCCTTACCTTCCTTGGCCACGCCGCTCACATCGTCCATGAGTGCTTGGACACCATGGGGTGTGTGACTTGAAAGAGGAAGAAGGGAGCATCGGGAGAATGGATAGTCGAGACCCCAAACAGCGATTTGTTCCTGCATGTTTGGTTTGTAGCCGGGTTGTTAGTCTGGCAAAAGTGGGGCTGACGCAGGCAGAAAGCTTTTTGGTAGACGTGCTCATTTTCTTTGGATGTCCTGGCCATCATGAAGCTTGGAGTGCGTAGCTTCCGACTTTGGCAGTGCTGCGCACATGAACCGTTCCACTCATTTGGGTGCGTGTGGTTGTGGCATCGGATCGAATGCACAGCTATAGGGATTGCGGGACGCCATCCAAAGGATCGCTTTGATATGAATATATCGCGACCGTCTCTAAAAAGACAACAACCAACATGAGCAACTCAGGTCACCCGTAGTGGTGTGGCGTATTTTGCCGTAGTGTTAGCCGCAAACCTGGCAGATCAACATGGGTCAAGGTTCCACCCCAAAAGTGAAGGTTTCCTCTGAAATGGGTTGCGTCAGGGGATTGAGTTGCTGGCTGTCTGACATTGGAACCCTCAAGCCAAGTAGAAGTTCGACGATGTTCCTTGGAATCAGATCGACACTTGAACAATATTGTTTTTTTTTTGAAATGTAATTGAGTATGTCTTGGACCCTGCCCTGCCCACCAAGTACAGAACACATTAATTTGCACAAATTATACGTAGCAACGCCACGGCTTCTTTGGTTGGAGTTCTTGTTTTATGCTATTCAGATAAAGTAACCCATGATTCATGACAAATGGATGTTGCTTGGACCCTGCACCCACGAAGAGATATACAATGCTGGACGCGGTCTTCCGAACTATGGGAATTGTTGGTCGGGAAGGGGCAGGGTCCAAGGTGTGATCTCGCGGAAACAGTTGATTTCCGCAGGGACCTGCACAGGTTGGACCTCCTGAAAGTTCTACGCGTTGTAGAACCATTTTATTGAAACATAGCAGTCAAACAAAGACTCTGGCCTCACCCAGAAGGGCTCTTTTCATAGGAACCCCTTCTTTGAGGTTGGAGAAGTTGTACAATTCCTCAACATCTGAGCCTGTTTCCAAAAAGATCACCGAAGTCGGCTTTGGGGCTGCTTCCCCCGCTTGCTGAGAGGCAACTAGAGGACAAACAATTCCTCTTGGACTGGCACATACCAAGGCCAGTCTTTCAGCAGCGCGCGGCGCCGCCACCTGGGGACATCATCCTAATGCCAGTGCTGCACTTGAGGCCCGCGTCTTTTTTTGGAGCGGAGCGTTTTGCTTCGGTTGCTTCGGCTGCTTCGGTTGCTTCGCTTGCTGTTGAGATACTCCGGCATTGTCCCTGTTTGTGTTACTGCATTGAAAAGCAATCAAACTTCCGGAGAAAGTACTTGTTCTCAAAGCATGGGGTCCGGTCAACAGTTTGGTGTATCAATGGGCGGTGCCGACCTAAAAACATGCTCACTTTATCAGGGATACCCTGAACATGACAATTTTTAAGGCTCATAGAAGTCAACCTTTGCAGCATTGCTTTTAAAGACGGAGATTAGATTGTCTGCTTGCTTGCTGGTTTGCTTTTTCAAAATCACTCATTGCTGGATTGATGGGTTGGATTGGATTTGATTAGGTTGGATTTGATTGATTTGATTTGATGTGATTGGGTCGCATTGGATTGGATTTAAGTATTGACTGACGGACTGGCTGGCTGGTTGGGCTGGCTGACTAATTGCATTGATTGACCTTTATTTCCCGCTTATTTAGCGCTGGGAATCCAGGAAGGAGCAAAGGGGCAAAACGGCTCCCTACGTAGAGAGTTGCTTTGTGTCTTCATCCCGCTTCATTGGGCGAAAGAATACAGACAGCCAGCACTCCATTCGACGTCCGCCTGTTGCGCTCAGGTTTACCCACGACAAGATCCGCCCCGTCTTCCGGAAAGGAAGGCACAGGGGGCAGCCCATTTATGAGCTGGTGAACGACCTGGTAAAGGGCGTGGTGAACCCTTTGGCCGCTCGGATGGGATCGGATCCAAACAACAGTCAGCTACGGGATACGAGCCATGGCGGCTCAGCACCCGGGAGGAACTGAGCAGATGACAGGGGGAAACAAAGGGACAGCAAAAAGGGCACCAAGCATTTGAACGCTCTCTGATTTGGCATGTCCATATCACATTACAAGTGTCCTTTCCCAACGTCCAGAGTTTAGGGGCAGGATTACATTGCGAGCTCCCCGGTCAAGCGGGTCCAACAGATTACCAGCAACACGACAAGAGCAAAACCAAAGCACCCTGCCTTGTCTTGTGTTTCACACCCACCCTGCTTCATCCTGTTCGTTTTTCGGCCAGATCGCCCTTTTGGCCGCTTTCTTGGGGGCCCGAGACCTGATCCCACCCGCTTTCGTTTCATCACGAGGTGATCGTTTCTGACTTAACTCTGTCACAAGGATGGAGAATTGACTCGCTAGTTGCTGTGGTGGCTGCAAACACCTGTAGTTCCACAAGGATAGGGCATCCATGGCCTTTGGCCTTGCGGATTCCATGGCAACGTTGGCTCCTTGGTTTTACTGAATATGTGTTTCAACCTTTGGAAAACGAGGAGCCAATGCCCACCAGCAACTGTGACGCTTTCTGCAGGGGGTCTAAGAGCAGCCCATAATTATTTGTAGGCTGCGCCAGCGTCGTAAGGTCCAGCCAGCACTTGATTGATTTTTGCTTGCCGGCAATGTGCACTGTGGGCTTGAGGTAAATCTGCCTCCTTTGGAGATCTACCTGCACAAGGGGGTCTGGCGATCCCTGAACAATCGCCGGCTGTGGGCCCTGAAGGTGCTGGTGCATCGGCATCAGCGGCTTCACTCACCGAGCTATCGTGTGTGACAAAACCAACAGGGTCGGCACACTTCCAGGTTTGCATGGATTCTCAATGTTTGGGATCTCTACCGGGTTGGGCTGCTTGGGCTCACTCGGTTGTCAACCCGTGAGTGAACCCTGGATCCCTGCTTAGCCACCCTGGATGATCGGGGGATCCAAGGTACACAACGGTGGAGAGCCTACAGCCCCAAAAGGTCCATTTGCACTGGGATGATTGGCTTTCTGGGGGAGAGGATTATTCAATAGATGGAGCAACGTTCTGTTGGGAAATATATTGTCAAACATGCAAAGCCATGCCACTTGCCCTTGGAGGTGGCAGGGTCGCGCCCAACAGCTTCCTGGGAAAGCCTTGCCGCGTCTAAAGGAATTGGGCCGCTCCCTGCAAGGCTTCTGTTGCGCAACGGGCACTGCAAGCGTTCAGGAATTGTCCCATGGCGCCCCATAGGGTGGGCCCACTTGGGCAGGGCACAGCCAGATGCTCAACTTCAGGTGCGATGCAAGGGATTGCCTGGAAACCCGGCACCTTTGGGAAGGGTTCCTTTGAACGTTTTCGAACAAAAAGGGAGTGAAACGCCGACGATGGATGGAAGGACCGAAGGAGGTGGATTCAAGCAGAGCACAACTTACTTCTGAGGCAGATAGATGTAGATCGAATGCGTTGGAGGGGTTGCTGTTGCTTTTTGTCAGTTTATAGGCTGGAATGCTCCACTGACACCGCAAGGCATAGCAAGCTTTTATTTGGGGAACTGCCCAGAATGGGGTCCTACGTGAGTGCAATGCCAGGGCATGATACAAAAGACTGGCACCACGTGCGTGGGGAGACGCCATACACCCCTCTCCCGCCTCGAGTGAATCCAGCCAGTTTGAATGGTGTAATTTGTATGTCAGAAGGTTTTGAGACATAGCCAGTTGAGCAGGCCGAGCAACTCGCCCTGTTTTCAGTTGAGCAGTTCCAGCCTTGCTTCAGGGTTCAGACGATAGAAATGGAACCCAACACACAGGGAGTTCAAATCCTAGCGACCTAGCGACCTAGCGACCTAGCGACCTAGCGACCTAGCGACCTACCGAGGGTTTGCGGATTGCGACCTTATGGCAAGAAATCTGATTCACCCAAACTTGATGCCGGGTTTGAGGCTTTGCGCGAGTCTGTCCCACGCCAGGCGTACATGGGGCTCTCGGGCAACTTCCAGCTCCTGGTGCGAGCAGCTGGGCCGACCAATATGCCCTGCCCGAGGCTAACGTGGAAGCGGTCGTAGGCTTGGCTAACACCTGCAAACAGACTGTCTAGCGCTTTGGTTTGACGGAAAATGTCAGCTTCTCACTCACCAGTAAGGCGTTTAACATTGTGCGGAGGGGCCCAAGACCAACCAAGATGGTTTGGTGCACTTTGGACCTGCTTTGGAGTCACATTCCTCTTGGAACTGTTCCAACTGCAGACGGAATATTAATAATATGTGTTTGAAATCCTGTGGCGGCAGTTTGGTGCATAAGTCAGCGCAGATTCTGACGAGTTGCCGGGCCAGGTTGTGCTTTGGAGGCGCAGCAGGCAGCAAACGAACCCTAGGGGAAATTCGGCCACACCTTTGCCTGAGTTGCTAGCTGACTGCCTTCTGGGTGTGTGCAACAGCCGCCCTCAGCGGCTACACACCTTAGTTTTCCTCCTCAAGGAAACGCGTCATGGCTTGTCGCCATCGGTTTGGCTGCTAAAGAGAGGGCCCTCCCTGGCAAAGCCGAAAGGGTTCACGATGCATGTGCGTCTGTACTGTGGTCTGGGCAAACCAAAATGGTCTATCGCACCAGCCCAAAAGAAAAGTTGCCCAGTGCCTCAGTTGGCCTTGCCGGAGCCCTTGCGCATGTGGTCCATGGCGGAGTTGCCAGCCTTCGCATTCTTCTTGGCGCTCACGATGAAGTTCGGATCAAACTTCAGCTGCCAGATCCATGTGTTGAGGAACTGGATCATCGACTGTCTCGCTGTCTTGTTTTTCTTCGTCATGCAATCCGCGAGGTTCCAATCGCTAGCCAGCCAAAGGAGCTTGGTGCCAACCTTCTGCATCTGCTGGCGCAACTGATACGCCTGAAGCGCTGCCCGAATGTTGGACAACCCCAACAGTGGTCCCTCATTGAGCTCCACCGCATCAAAGGCACCCTTGCTGTCCGTGGCCAGCAAGCCGGGGATGGTCGCCACCATGGAATCCGCCACCTCCAGGATGTCCACAGACTGATTGAAGCCACAGCAACCATTCAGCTGCGCCCACATCAATCTCACCCGATAGGCGTGATCCTCGCCCTCCAGGATGGACTGAATCTCGCCATCATTTGACGAAATGGCCACTCGCCGCAACTTCCAAGTCCTCCACATCACCAAAGACAACGTGGAAGTCTTTCCTTCGCGAATGCCCTTGCCGCCCATCAGCACCAGCAGGCCACCAGTGGACTCACCCTTGGGCCTGTTCGCGTGCGCCTGATCCGCCATGCCAATGACTGTCATGTCTTGCCAATGCTCCACGTCGTTGAAGTGATGAAACCGCAACGTGGTAGACGTCATTGTCCGCGCCTCCTTGATCAAGTCCTGCACTTCCTTCGCAGTGGCTAACGTTGGTTGTTCACTGAGGTCCGTCAGGAGCAAGTTGCATCTCGCGCAAATAAGTGGAGCGCTTTGCACAGCTAACCACTGTAATGCCCCCAGAGCACCGCGGCACATAGACACTTCTCGTGCAGTCATATCTCCCGAAGATCGAAGCCGCTTTGAGTCAATGGCCAGGTCCTCCAACGTCTCCGCATAGTGGGTCTGCTCCAACTCCACAAAGAACTCATCGCCCTTGTCAATCACGTTCACATCCACGCCGATGTGCCTGTAGGAGTTGAGTCTGATCGTACCCCACTTGAATTTCTCATCAATGGTCTTGCGGATCTCCAGCCACTTGCCATTCTTCAGGTCGCCTCCTCTGTTGAAATCGTCCACATGGCCACCCATGAAGCCAATGGTCTTGAAGCGATCCCATTGATTCCTCGGATTCTGATTCTCCTCGATCCAGACCCACAGACACGAGTCTCCCCAGATGCGGATGCCACCCAGCTTGGACAGCTCACTGTCGAGCTCCTTCCACAGATTCCGTGGGGCCGTAGAGCTCCCGTAGATGTCCTTCAGCAACCGCAGCAATCCATTGTTGTCCACCCCCAACGCCTCCTTGAGCTCGGGAGTGCCAGTAGTCCACAGCCGCTCCTTCTCCATGGTCTTGGATGTCTGTAAGAACGCCGTCGACAAATCCAATCCCTCCAGATCCCATTTGTTCTGGGCCACCAGCTGGAAGGTCAGATAACGTGCCAACGTCGACTGCACCGGAGATGCCGTCTTATGTCCTTCTTGAAGAAGATCAGGATGCTGAAATCCAAGGAGAACAATCCGGGCCTTTGCCTTCTTTGTCGCGTCCTTCGTCACGGTCGTGGTTGCGGAACTTTCCGCCAAGGCCTTCTTCGCCTCCTCTTGCTCCTCCGGTGGAATGATCTTCCAAGTCAGCACCCAGCGGCATCCCAACACTCTGCCGGATTGGCGAGCTTCATCCTCCTCTGCCTTGCTGAGGCACTTCCGTACTGCTTCCTGGGCCAGGAAACTCTTCACCTCCTTGGACTTGGCCCGGTCAAACAACTGCTTGTCCTCCTCACTGAGATACCGGTAGTTCACCTCCGTATCCCTCATCTTCTTGACCAGGTAGTTGACCGGATTGCGTATGAAGTTCTTCTGATCCCGGTGTGACTGAAAATCCAAGTCCAGCTCCATGACGTAGCCCTCGTTGACCTCATCCAACGCGTCAAAGAATTCCGCGTGCATAGCCTCTTCGTCCTTCATGTCCGGACTCTCGCTGTCGTCCTCACCGTGCGAGACCTTCTGCCGTTTCTCTCCTGGCTCTTCCGCTACCGACTCCGACGCTCGTGATGTAGAGCTCTTCAACAACGGTCTGGCAGACGACGACCCACCAACAGAGAAGGTTCTCCCATCGCCAATCCCAAGGTCATCCTCCTCGAGGTCCGCATCTACATCCACTTGCGCTGACCTTGGCTGGTAGTCGTTGATGTCCATAGACTGCTGCTTGTCCTCAACGGATGTCGTCGGCTCCGGTTGTTTGAAGCGTAGTCGCCGCGAGGTCACCGGCTTGATTGTCGAAGCGTCTGGCTGTGTTGGCAAATCAACCTTCTCCTCATCGTTCTCGTCCGGCTCCTCATGAATGACATCGACATACTCCTTGGATGGTATCAGGTCCGTGAGGCTCTTCCACTCCATGGGGTTGGTCTGATTCCGCATCTCCTCGACGGCTTGCTCCACTTCTGTCAAGGGTCGCACAGAATGAACCGAGCACCGCATGATCGTGCTCCCAATGGCCACCCAGACAATGTGTCTGCGTTCATCATCCGCCTCCTGGTCCACCAACACTTCTTGGAAAAGCACACGCCCAGGTCCAATCCACCGCGGCTTTGCGGTCTTCTTGAACCCTTGTCTCTTGCCCTTGTGATAGTCGTGGGTCATGTACCTTCTCCACACTTTCACCCATTGCGTGGGCCAGAATTCCCGCAGCGGCTGTCTGACCTTGGAGTTCTGCAGCTTGCTCAGCGTTCGCATGGCTTTCGCCCTTCTCGCACAATCCTCTGCCTGTTGTCTCTGCGTCACCAACCGCACATAATCCCGTTGTAGAGGTGGTGAATCAAGCCCCGCGAACGTCCGCAAGTCTTCCTCCGAGAGCGAATAGCTCCTGCCAAAAGCCCACTGAAAGGGGCTATAGCCCTCCACGAACTCCACGCCATTGAGTCCCGCTGCTGCCATCGCCAAGCACACGCCCGGGTCCATGTCGGCAAAGGAAGTCCGGATCAAGGTAGCCGTGTTCTTGATGTCCTTGATCGCACTCTCGATGACCCCATGTGCCCAGCTCTCCTTCTCGGCCGGATGCGTGAGCGCGATGTTGAGGTCGGACATGTACTCCCGCAGCTTGTTTGACGTCAGTGTCTTCGCCGAGTCGGGAATCACATACTCCGGCTTCGGCTTATCCAGAAGCCACCGCAGAGCAAAACTCTTGATCACATCGTCCGCCGACTCTGCCTGTTGCTGTTCCATGGGGTAGCTCTTGATGACGTCTATCACCTTATACTTCGTGGCCATGTCCATGAAGAGAATGAACTTGTACTTCTGCTGACAGTTCGGCGGCAGCCACTCACTCAGATCAATGCCCACCTGCGACCATGCCTTGGGCAAAGGTTTGGTTGAAGCAGGAGGAATCCGTCCCGAGCTGCTACCACCAGGTCTCAATGCCTCACAGTGCGGACACTTGTAGTCCATGACCATCCGGATCTGCCACGCTGGTCTTCCAGCATCCCGTACCATCCTGGCCAGGTTGCGGTTTCCAGGATGTCCAGCCGCAGCATGGAACTTCTTGATCTTCGTAAGCCATACCTGTTTCTCCGCTTCCGTCGGCTCGGCACCACCGACTGCCTCCTCTTCTCGCACGTCTTCGACCGCTTCACCTTCCTCTGCGTCCGGCTCTGCTTCCGCCGCATGAAGAACCATCTCCAGGTACTTCTCATCTGTGATGTCGATAGCCTCCTTGATCCAGAGCTTTTTCAGCACACGGTCTGGGACTTCCTGCTGTCGCCAAAGCCTTGCTATGCTGCGGCATAGATTCCACGGGTAGTAGGCTGTTGATGCCGTCTCCACACCCGCGATCTCTCCATGATCATGACCTCCAACACATGTCTTGCTCCGAAACATAGCGTAGAACCGCTCGTCCGTGGTCATGATGGTCCATTGTTTCCGCAGCAGCTGCTTCCCGTCTCGAGATCTCAGATTGTAGCGACAGCCGTCAATCCGACACCAGAAAACACGGTAGCCGAAATACTCCAGAATGCGCTGGATCTGGCCCATCTCCTGCACGTTCCAACCATCACAGTGAGTAGGCCACTCATGGTAATACTCCGGACGTTGACCACTCTCAAGTGTCTTGCTGAGCCAATTCGCAAAGAGCCGCATCATCTTCCGCTCCCTGCGTCTGAACTTGGTCAATTGCTCCGGTCTGTCGTGATAGTTCAATCGTGCCCAGGAGCTCCACTTAGTGCATGGCATAGACACCCACAGTCTCCTCGGTCGCTTGTTCGCGGCTAACTTCTCCAGAACCTGGTAGGTGTCCGGCCTGTAGAGGTCCATGTTGTTCGCCAAGTTCAACCGCATGGCCTTCAGACCATCTCTCTCCGCCGCAAATGTCAACCAACTGTCGGGAGCGCAGAAGAATTCCCACAGCGCATCCTCCTCTCCGTAGAGCATCTCCTGCACGTTGATTGCCAAATGACGCTGCGCATCCTTCTGCATCTCAATCGCTTGACTGGCCACGTATTTGGGGATGTCCCGCTTCAGTTCCCCGCTGGTGACATTTTCTTCATCTGGTCCGTGGTGAGCATCTCTGCATCCTCCTGGGCCTTCAGCGATCGCTCGCGCATCACCTCCTTGAGCTTTATAAGTTCCTCCGTGGTGATGTGCTTGAGGATCTCTTGCTCGAGCGTAGGCGTTTCTGGCTCCTCCACCACTCCCCATGAACTTGCGGCGCTTGTAGGGGACCGCGGTGCCGAGGCTGTCGTCTGATAGCCCTTCTTCATAGGCTTCGCGGCCACCGGCTTGTTCTTGCACTTGGCCAAGACGTCCGCGTACCGCTGGTTCGTGGTGTGTTTTTCGATCGCGACTCGCACCATCTCCTCCGTCGGCAGGATGCCCTTCATGGTCGCAAAGTCCTCCTCCAGCTGCTTCAGCGCCTGCTTCACGTCCTGGTGATTCTTGACCTCCGTGCTGTCCGATGGGGCTCCCTTCTTGGGCAGGTAGATCAACCGCAGGGCACATTGACTGCAGTGCATCCACATTCCCCACTTGTTGGACCGATGCCGCATTGGCTCGTGCGTTCCATAGCATGGCCATTGCTGGTCGGACGCTCGAGGATCCCGTCCGTCCAGCTCCATCGCTCGGTCCTTCTCCAGGACGTCCATCTGCTTCTTCCCCTCCTTGTCGCACTCCAACTGCTTCATCAGCACCGCCAGGTAGTCCGGCGACTTTACGGCCATGACCTCCTACCGGCACTGGCGAAGAGGGTGGCTCCACTGAGCTCTTGGGAGCAGGTTGCATGAGTCTGAGCCTCCTTGCTGCCGGGTTCGTCTGATTCAATTCGCTTCTTCGCTGCAGCAACTGACGGAAAGGTTCACCTCGATCAAACTCTGGCAGAACGACATGCAGTTCCAGAACTTCCACATCAAACGACACATGGCGCTCCTGTAGGAGAATGATGTTTGCATGCCCCTGGCTCACGGTGACGCCCCCTGTGAGGTACTCAACAAGATCCACCATATAGTGCCCCTTGGAGTTCTGCTGGAGAGTATAATGCCGTAGGGGGTCAATCAACGAGAAAACACACGTCCCATCCACCAGATCCACAACCATGCCCGTCCCGGTGTCCCCCGCGAAGTCCATGCCAACCAACACAGGAACCAGTAGGGAACGGTTCTCCTCGTTATCCTGATAGTTGCTGGGGTTGGGGAGCACATACACGGAAAAGGACCTTGGTTTCCCAGATGCTGTGGATTGGAGATCTACATGATATTCTCCGCGACCCCACTTCCCAGACCCGAAGCGAAAATATGGGCGACGGCTCTGGTCAATCTTGATCGTCGCTCCTGGGTCTTTTGCCAGTAGGGCTTGGATCAGCCCACGAACAGCACCCTCGGGGCCAGCACTTGCTGTGGCTCCCGTGTCTAGCATCCCTTGACTGGGCTTACGCTCTGCATTCACCTTGGCCGACTGCGCCTCTGCTGCATGAAGGTCTCCACGTGTTTGCCCATCAACCTCCATCTCCAGTCCGTAGTAGTCGGCCACATACGCATTGACCTGGCTGCCCTTTGAACCTTTGAACTTGCCCTTGTTCTTACCGTGGGGAAATGCGTACGCCATGTCATAGGCCGTCCAGTTGGCGTTCTTGTTCTTGTTTTTCCCCTTCGCCATGACCAGGTCCCAGTGCCAGTCCGTGTCTGCATAGTTCATGTGCTTGCCCGTGAACTTGCCGCCCATGGGTTTTCCACCAAAACCCTTCCCTTTTCGCACGCCGGGATGTTGCCGGTCAGGGCACTCTCTCGCCATGTGGTTGCCCCCGCAGATGAAACAACCACTGCTTCCTTTCATCCCAGCAGACGCCGAGGGAATAAAACCACGCTCTCTCCTCATGGCCGCAGTGGCTTGCTGAGCCTGTGACCACGTTCGCTTCGCCTCCATGGCCAACACCTCAGCATCCTGCTCGGCCTTCTGCAATTCTTGTAATCGAGGATCATCAGCGTCTTCTCCATGTTCGACTCCAGCAGGTTCCCATACAGGAGAATCGTCATCTCGCCAACCGACATGATATTGCCAACCAGCGTTCCAACCATCTCCCCATTCATCTCCCCAGTCCTCGTAGGGCGTGTCCTCCACGTACGTCGTGTAATGATCTGCTTCCGCAACATGAAGGTGATGTCCAGGGAGTGAAGGCTGAAACCGGGTTGCCGTCAACTGCTCGTCCCACAAGGTCTGCAAGGCATCGCTGATGCTGTCATAGTCCAGGCGTCCGTTGGTGGCACTCAAGATGTCACGCCACTCCTCCGGACTCAATGAGGCGGCCACCAGCAGCCTCCATCCTCTCAAGACATTGATGATGAAGGAGTCCATCACATTCAGCTCATCTTCTTCGTCCACGGTCACCGGGCTCGGTCCCGGTGTAGCTGATTCTCGACGTCCTCCCTGAGACGCCGCCTCTGCGGAATCCCGATGTCCGGCTTGAGGAGAAGCCGCTTGAGATTCCTGCGGATCGCCTTGATGTTCTCCTTCAGCAGGAGCCGGTTCTTCAGCTAGTCCATCTCCATCCGCGTCAGCAGCATCTTCTTCTTGAGACACTCGACGATAGCCACGAGACCTCCTCCAACTCGAAGTGTCCGATCCGTCCTCCACTCGGCTACCTCCACGCTGTCTCCACCGATCCCACTGACTCGGAGACCACCAATCTTGAAGATCGTCATCTCGATCTCGTTCTTCAGGTGCAGGTAGTCCAAACGTCCGTTTGCTCGGATCAACACCGCTGCGCTCTTGCTTCAGCCGAATGAGCGCCTCTTGGAACTCCTCAAATCCCAAGGTCTCCCGCACCAAGAAGTCCGCGACCTTCTCATTGTTGTACCGCTTGAAGCTGAAGTACTGGCTCATGATCGCCGCCGCATTCGGCATGCTTCTCCGCACCAATGGGCTCTGCGCGAGCTTCCGAAGGTACTTGGTGACGCCGTCCTCCGTATCGAACTCTGCCTGCGACCAGCTCATTGCCAGGAGCCTGGCAGTGCCAGTGAGCTTGGAGATCAGCCTCGTTGCCAGATACTTCCGCATGCTTTGCTTGTTCCCTCTGACATACCAGGCCACCTCCTTGCAGTAGCGTCTCCAACCCTTCGGAGCTCCATCCCAAGTGGGCACCACTTCCTTGCCCTCCATGGTCTCCCTGATCGCGCCAAAGCGCGTGTTCAGCTGGACCGTCACGTGCTCCGCTGCCAATGCAACAGCCGCCCTCAGCGGCTACACACCTTAGTTTTCCTCCTCAAGGAAACGCGTCATGGCTTGTCGCCATCGGTTTGGCTGCTAAAGAGAGGGCCCTCCCTGGCAAAGCCGAAAGGGTTCACGATGCATGTGCGTCTGTACTGTGGTCTGGGCAAACCAAAATGGTCTATCGCAGTGTGCAACCTGGCAGCCTGTTCCAGAATAAGTGTTTCTCAATTAGCACAGGGAGCACCCTTTGTGTAGGGCAACGTCACACAGTCAATTCGTGAGCATGGCAGGAACTTGATATCCCCTTTGAAAGGAACAAGGATACCCTGCAAACTGGCACAGCCATTGGCTTTGACTTTGCGACCCATTGTAAGCTCAAGATATGTTGCTGGTGAACTTTGTGCTTGGTCCAAAGCAGTGGTCTTAGCCGGGAAATACATGACATATTTCAGTGCATGATGTACCTGTTTGTTAACCCCTCCACCCCCATGATTAAAGTCAGCCACGCAAATTGTAGTTCCAAGGGAAGGGCCCAGTCCCGATTTTGGCCTTGGACATGCTCCAAAAAAACCACCGAGAAACTCTGAGGTGTGCATCTCCTCCCGTTCGGCTGCCGCCTTCCGGGAGAAGAACTCCACCCACACAGACGGTCTCTCTGTGGAGGTTACTGGGGATGAGACTGCGCTGAAGGAGTCGAGTCAAACTCCAGAGACGATATGCCGCACCCACCGAGACAGAAGCCGAGCCTTTAAGCTTCCGACACTCTGGTTTAGCTGAAACTGTGGGCCCCCCAAGGCCGTCCGTCACATTTCCCTCAGATCTGGAATTTCGAGTTGGCGCCCCTGAAAGAGTAAGGGTGTCCTTCACTGGTAAACTGGACAGAAAACTAGGGTGTTTCCTAAACCGGTGGGGGTCTTTGATTCCTGTAAACAACATCGAACAGGTGCAGTTAGTGGTTTGTTTGGGCAACCCTGTTCCCTTCCGCAGGACAAGGTTGTACTTGGGAAGCGTCAAAATTGGACAACCTTTGAAGGATTCCTGTTGCTTATGGTTTGAAATTCACCAAACATGTCCCCGCAGCCAGCATTCATTCTGACGAGGGAGGAAACCGAAGGCCAAACATGGCCACACACACCCACACACGCACGCACCCAGTGATGTGCCCTGCTTCTGACGTTTATAGCCTTTTTGTTTCAAGCCGCGTTGAACATGCAAATGTCCAGGGGGACAGAAAAGCACAGTTCTGCGAGTGGTGATTCTCCGTGGATTTCAGGCTGCCGAATTGTTTGGTAGAAACAGGGATTTCCCCAAGTAGCACGGCCACCCAACACCCTTGAGAAAGACTGAGCAAAACCAAAACATACCAAAACTTATTCGTTCAAGCATTGGTCTGGCCGAGCCCTTGGGCTGCTCGCTCGTGCGCCTGATAGTCATAGCGACCTTGCAGAGAGGGGTTTGCGGACTCACCTATCCTGATGGCTCATGTCACAGGGAGCCCTTATTTTGGGTAGGTGATTTGTTGGAAGATGTTGGGGATGATTTGAACAGATGTGGGGTGATGAACCAGAGGAAGGGTTTTTTCTCACTCAGTATTCATCGCGGCAACCCACCTGTTGAAGAATTCGGCTGGCTTATTGAGCAGGGGTCAATATCATTGCTCTTCGCTGCTGCTGTTTGCTTTCCTTTGTTGCAGGAGGCTTTCTACAACCAGCCTTCCCAACTCTGCCACTACTGGCGGCATGGCGAATGCTTCCGCGGCGTCCCCTGGCTAAACATTCAACAATTCAGGGCCGGCTGCGCTTCATTCGTTTCTTTGGTTGTCGGTCGATCAGCTCAATAATTGGATTCGTTTGGTTGTTTGTGGCTCGCCGCTCGTCGCTGTGTGCTGGCTGCACTTAGCGCGGCGGGTGTGCAGCTTGAAGGAAGTGAGCAACTTGATGCATGCCGGATGGTCAAGATTTGGCTGTTTGCTTGCAGTTGCAGCATGTGGCTTCCAAAAGACTGCTTGTTGGTTAGCTTGTGGTTGTTGTTTACGTTGTTCGCTGAAACAATTTGGGTATGGGCCATTCCTGTGGACGCTCGGACCCTTGGTGTGCGCATATCTGCCCCCTCTGGGAGTCGTGGTGTGATGTGAATGCTGGGAATGGCGCAGGATGCCGGGCACAATGCGAAAAGTGCTTGCCTGTTTAGCATGTTTACACGCAATCACTTCTCAACTGGTGCGCCCAATTCGGGCGCGCTGAGCTTCATTCTTCACTGTAGCCTTGAGAACCAAGGCCGGGTCTGCGTGTATGTTGAACAATGGTTTAAAGTGGTGCCGATCATGTCAACACGGACTATCCGTTAAGGAGCCTAATCCTCTCCAGTCGATTCAATTTTCTAGCACCTCATTGCACCTAGCAAGTTGAGGCTATAATGAAAAGCAGCCACTGGCGTGCACTGGAATTTGGACTTGATGCCAGTTTTAAGTATGGTTGTGCAGATCCAAGGATAGCTGTCCTTTTGAACACGAAGACCCCAGCGAGCGCAAGGCGATTGAGGACAGAGTTGTGCACTGCACATGCACAGATAGCTGATTTTTCCCAAGGCAGGGCAATATTTTTGGGATTTATCCGAATGAGTCGTCTCAGATGGGCAGAATGACAGCTGTTAAGCTCCGTAGCTTTCGCATTTGTGTTTGCGGGCTGGGCAAAACTCTCCAATTCCGTGAAGCCCAACCACATGTTTGTTCCCGCCAGACGCCACAGGTCGGACGAACTCAAAGCGCGAAAGTTTGCCGCCAATGATCACAACAAAGCTTCACTTCGTTCGAGTCCGTCCCTTGAACACAGTTGTTCTTGTCCCATATCCCTTTCCAAAGTTCGGTCGCTTGATAGAACCTTGGGCCCAGGATGCTGGGTGAGAGCAAACCCCGGATGAATAATGAGATATGGCTGCGAATGGTTTGCAATTTGATGAAACCACTGCCTAGACCAGTTCGTTTCTCTTACTCGCGCAGCCAGGACAAGTATCATCTTACTGCAGCAAGGCGCTTGCTCGCGAAGATTTACCAGAGACTTGGCTCGCAAAAAGCTGCCACTGCCGCGGTGAAAACGATATCGACATGTTCTGAGATCGAAACGAGCCCCGAATGTCCTCTGCCAAAAGCACTCGTGGGTGTCATTGTCCAGACCGTGACTATCAATGTGAATTCACCTGCAAGCCTGTTTGAAAAGAGACTTCCGGAAGCTTTCCACTCGGCCCGGATTGCAAAAGCTGCAGGACAGCTGGTTGCTTTTTGGCTTCTGTCCCAAACGCATGTCAGACTTGTAATCGTTGGTGTTGCAGTGCAATGTTTCCCAGCCAGTGTATGCAAACACTGGGCGGAATTCTCAAGAACTCGCGAGGAAGCCCGTGTTCCGATCTTAGGAGGTCATGTTGGTTCACAGAACATTGCGATCCCATGGACGATTCTGGTAAATTGCCTTGGCCCCTCATTCCGCCGGAGCCGACTTTGGCATCCCGAAGTTGTTCGCGTCATGGAAGGGCAGTGCCATCCCAATTGAAGCGCCTGCGAGCATCTGAGAACTTTGCCATCGTCCGACGTGAATAAATCCTGCTGATGGTGTTCGTCTTTAAAATCGAATGGGTCGTGCATTTGTGTGTGTGGGTGATGGTAATGGTGTGGGTGTGTGTTTTGTGTCTCTCTATGTGTGTGTGTATGTTCTACAAGTGTTTGTGTGTGAGTATGTCTGCGTGTGCAAATGCATGTTGTTTGTAGTGTGTGTGTGTGTGTGTGTGCGCGTGTGTGTGTTTGGTAGCGAGTTCTCGTGCGTTTGCTTGTTTGCTTTGTTGGTTTGTTTGGTTGCTTGTTTGTTTCTTTCTTTCTTTCTTTCTTTCTTGCTTTCTTGCTTTCTTGCTTTGCTTGCTTGCTTGCTTGCTTGCTTGCTTGTTTGTTTGTTTGTTTGTTTGTTTGTTTGTTTGTTTGTTTGTTTGTTTGTTTGCCGTAGTTTAGTGCAGTTTTGTTGGTTCTGTGTTTAGTTATTGGAGGGGTATTTATTTTAGGAACTTGTTTCGTTTTCTTTTCTTTTTTTTTTGTTTCTTTTTTTTTCGCTTTTGGCTTCTTGGCTGCTTGGCCTCTTGGCTTCTTGGTTTCCTGGCTTTTCGGCTTCTTGGCTTCTCGGCTTCTGGGCTTCTGGGCTTTTCGGCTTTTTGCTGGCTTTTGGTGGCTTTTTGGCTTTTCGCATCCTCTGCATTCCCAGTTCCTCTTCGGCAGGTGGCGTTTTGGCTTTGCGGCTTTTCGCTGGTTTATGTGGCTTTTGGCAGCTTTTGGCGGCTTTGGCTTTTCGCATCCTTCGGTTTTTTTTGGCTTTTGCGCCCTTTCATTGGTTTTTGGATTTGGCTTCCCGCATCATCAGCATCACCACCACCCTATTTGAATCATCACTTCTTCAGAAGTCGTGGGGGGGGGAACCCCCCCCCCAACCCACCCGCTACTGTTTAGATTGTAATTGCACCCCTTTTGAATCAACTCTTCTTCAAGCATCATGGGGGGGGGTTGCCGCCTCCCCCCCGTTACTTTTAGATTTCTTGCAGAGATTGAATTGCACCCCTGTTTGAATCATCACTTTTCGAGCGTCCAATTTCTCAAGAAAATGCTGCAAAATACGACATTTTATGTAATTTGTGTAATGCATGTATGTCTGTATGTATGCATTTCTTCGAACATCATAGGGGAAGCCACCCCCGCCAACCCTCCTGCTGCCTTTTAAATTCTATCGCACCCTTTCTTGCACCCCTACTTGATTCTTCCGACATCTTGGGGGCGGCAGCGCCCCCCCCCCAACCCCCCGCTAGTTTTTAGACTTTTGCAGAGATTTTATTGCACCCCTATTCGAATCATGACTTCTGCGACCATCATGGGGGGGCTGCCCCCTGTGTCTGTTTTTGACCAATGTTGATCGCCCGCAACCATTTGGCTCAAGGCCCTTCTGTACCATAGCAATACTGATGATTGCGTGACAAAGGAACCTTTGCAGGCCGCTTACAGGATTATACACTGAGACAATCCACCAGGGACAATCCATCCTCCAATCATCCATATTGGCATATTGGACTCTCTCCGGAATAGATCCAGGGACCGCATAAACGACCTCTACTACCACAGGGTACCAGTTCCCTTCTGGGACAGGTACCCCCGGCAGCGGGCCTCAATTTGTGGTAGCGGGGCAGGTTTTCCGCAGAGATCCAAGGAAAAATGTCATCCGATGGAGAAGGCTTCATGGAGGCCTATTCAAGTATGGCCAAATCATCCGGCTATACAGAGGAAACACTCAACCTATCGATGACCGCCAAGCAGCCGCCATCGTACGACGGAAAAGTCAGCTGGCCCAGGTATGAAGAACTCGTGGACGACTGGGTGACAATCACCACGGTGGAAGCACCCAGGAGAGGACCTTTTCTCAATAGCAGACTCACAGGAGATGCTTACATGTACAAGGCAGTCCTCCAAATGACCTTTTGCAAGATCCTGATGAAGGAGTCAACTATTTCAAGAACACGCTGAAGAAGTACTTCCTGAAAGGTGCGACCAACGTGTATCTGTACAGGCTCCTCAGTTTCTTCAATCACAGAAGGCAGAACCAAGAGGTTCCTCATTTTCACATCCAAATTCGAAATCCTTCTCATGAAATTGAAGGCAGCATGGATGGACTTGATGCCCGTCTTCACGGCACAGTCCCCATCATTTCGACAGTACAGGACGCAAACAACAGAACAATTGCTCGACATCAGCAAGCAGCCGGTACTCGAGCACCGCCTCCAGTCCTGCTAAATGAGGATGATCCGACCATCCTCAGACAGTATATCACGGGAATGCAGGACAGACAGCGGGACGCATTTCCCTTCGAAGATAATCTCATTGCGCAGTTCTTCATCATTCAGAGTGAATTGTCAGATCAGCAGAGAGAAAGACTGACCAGCGCCCTGTCACTGAGAAACATTTCACTCCAGCACTACGCCTATGAGATGCTGAAGACGCATTACCATGAACTCTTCATCACGACCAGGACATCCATCCAAGATCCATCCATCCGACCTCAAGGAGGCAACCGAAGCAACACGTTCTTCATCCTCGAACAAGGTGAATATGAGGCTTAGATGAAGAAGGACTTGAAGGATTCATATCAAACAACGATGAAGAGACATTCTGGGTCCTCGAAGAGAACGATGCGTTCATAGCAAGAAAAGTGTCTAATTTCAGATTCAAAAAGAGAAAAGGAAAAGGAAAATCAGGAAACAGAAAGGGCAGTCACCAACGAGGTGGCTTTAAACCCTTTCGAAAAAGCGGTTCTGGCGGGAAGGCCATAATATGGCCAATGAAAACTATGATCCCTACGACCAGGCATATTGGGGAAAGGCAAAGTAAAGAAGGGAGAGAAAGGAAAATCCAAATTCCAATATCCCCATGATGGAAACAAAGGTTATCCATCCTATGAGAGTGGCAAAGGAAAAGGCGGACATGACAAAGGAAGATCCAAAACGTTCGCAGCCATCGCAGAGAAGCCGGAGGAGCATCCTGCCACGCAGCAAGTTGCTGAACTCCAAGAGCCTACCTATGCCGGGTGGACAGACCAAGATTGGGATCAATCATGGACATCGAACGAACAAGGCTGGTACTCATCCCATGAGACATCCAGCACAGGACAAGCACTAGTGGCATTCCATGACGCATATCAGCAGCGTGAGAAAGAAGACATCCACCGGAAGCTGATCCAATCAGATACAGTTTCAGAACACAAATTGTCCGTAACAACAGATCACAGCCTTTTGGCAACAAAGCTGACGGCGCCTGTCATCAACCCTCAGCACAATCCGACCTATGCGATCCTGGACAACGGATGTACCAGATCCATGGGCAGCTGGCATGCAATCCAGCGTTTTACTCAGACCATCAAACCCATGAACGACCTCATCTCCTATCAGTACATCCCGGCCGAGACCAAGTTCACTTTTGCAAACGGAGAAACAGCCAAGGTAAATTGGACCTTGCATCTCCGATATCACACAACTCCTCCATGCAGTACCAACATCGACATCCTTGAACAAGGAACTGTACCGATCCTCCTCAGCATCAGTCAGACGCGGAACCTTTACATGACCATCGAGCACACACCTCAATGTGACAAGATCACATGCAAGGCCTTTGGCATGAACCGTCAAGCAGTTCCAGTATCCGGTGCAGGACATGCACTCGTCGACCTCGCTGGAGTTGCAAGAGTGAAAGCACATGGAGAAATTGCCATCAAGGGCCTCACCAACTACGTCTACGATGATGACAACAGCATCAAGTTTCCCTCCGGGGATTTTTTCAAGAGTGAAACTGTTTGTGCGTCCAAATCATCCGAGATGAAGGAGGACCTAGCAACTCCTCACCGGCAATCTCTTGAATGTTGCTGCACATCCACCTTTCCGTACTGTGTTGCAGAACAAGGCATTTTTGGTTGAGTGGCTAGCACACAATACGAAGCACGGGCCCGACATCATTGCCTTTGCAGGAGTCGGTGTAGCAGAATCCATGTTTGCTTACTGGGGAACCTTGGCATGATCCGCATGTCCACGAATTCTGATGCATGAGTTTTTCATTTTGCACATTTTCAATTCCTCAAATCCGTGATGCGTGTTTTGCACTTGACCCATTTTGAATCTCAAGAAATATGTGTCTGCATCCGCAGTCACTTGGTTTACAACCATTCCGACCTTTGCAATCGTGTATGCTTGATCACCTCGAAGACATGCGACATGCCGATTCTCAATATGATCTTTGGACGACCCGGCACTGCGGCTCCTTCACCGAAGCCGCTAGTGAAGAGACGCGCATCTCCTTTGAAGGAATCCCCTGCTCGCGACGAAGAAGATGAGACATCCGACTGCCCCATGGAGCAGGTCGCCAATGCGAATCCATCCGCCTCTCAACAACCAGATAATGTCAACATGGAGCAGGCAGATTACGATCGAGATACCGACAACGATGATGATCCGGATGAAGAAGAGCAACCTCCCGCAGGAAATCCG